TTCTGGGAAAAGGGAAGCCTGGGGGCACCCCGCTTTCTTAATGCACAACATGGAATGGAACCACCCCCCAACAGTTATCATGGATTTGGCCCATTGGGCACCTTCATTTTTGAGGTGCCAGCAGCAAAATGGGTGGTTTGATAGGACTCAGGTACTGTCTGGAATAAATGGGGTGGGGGACCCTCGCCTAAGTGCAGGAGCTCCGACTTGGCCCCCAGGTTATGGGGATCATGATGTCATACGCCCCACAGCCTCAGAACCCGGCTTCGGGTGGCACCAAAGTTTTGTGGGTGCCCTATAGTTGGCACCCCCTTCTTTGATGGGGGGCTGGAGGGCTCTGAAGGCATTTTTCAATTTCTCTTAAGTTCCCATGCTTGGCAAATGCGGGGTGGGGTTGGGGGAGCAAGTTCCTAAGCTGCAGCTGACAACGCACCTACTTCTGAGTAAACCCACTGGAGTTAAGCAAGGGGCTCGGGCTGTGGCTGGGACATGATAGGAAAGGAGGTGTTTGTTTCCTTAATACTGCTTCCACCGGAAAATTGGGGTGCAGACCAGGCTAGTCCTTTCTTGAATGAGAAAAGGCTCCCCCGATTTTTTCCTGTGGGTCGATGCTCATTTTGTGGTGGAACAAGGGCTGGGGCCATTGCTGCAACTCCCAAAGCAAGGGGGAAGGCTGCCTAAATCAACAAGCTGGGCCTTTTCCCCTTCCCACACCCACTCAAGACAGTCCAAAAACTCACTCTGCCCAGCCACCTCTGGGCTCTGCAGCCTTCACCTCCTTTCAGATAACACTTCAGAATATGACATTCCCACTCCCTGGGGTCTGGCTGCAGTTACAGCTGCCCACAAGCTGAAATCTTATGGCCCCCACCTGCCCCCTCCCGCCAGCCGGTGTGTGAGGACGTCAGAAGATTCAGGGCGGTGAAAAGGTTCACGCAGCACGTAGCCGAACTATATTTCGGCATAGCTGACAAGCCAACGGAAGAGAAAGTGTTGTCATTTAGAACTTGTGGCTCCCAGTACATTTCCGAGCATAATTTAAAGTGTTGGTGCTGACCTTGAAAGCCCTAAATGGCCCCAAAGGCCCAGGATACCTGAAGGAGCGTCTCCACCCCCATCGTTCTGCCTGGACACTGAGGTCCAGATCCGAGGGCCTTCTGGCGGTTCCCTCCCTGCGAGAAGTGAGGTTACAGGGAACCAGGCAGAAGGCCTTCTCGGTGGTGGCGCCCGCCCTGTGGAACACCCTCCCACCAGATGTCAAAGAGAACAACAACTACCAGACTTTTAGAAGACATCTGAAGGCAGCCCTGTTCAGGGAAGCTTTTAATGTTTAATAGGTTATTGTATTTTAGTGTTTTGTTGGAAGCCGCCCAGAGTGGCCTGGGAAACCCAGCCAGATGGGTGGGGTATAAATAATAAATTATTATTATTATTATTGTGGACGTCCAATGTTGGATGATTCAGGACAGAGAAAAGCAAGCCCTTCTCCACACAACTGCGGAACTCCCTGCCACAAGAGGCAATGGGCACCACCAACTTTGGATGGCTGCGAAAGAGGAGGAAGCAAATTTACGGAGGAGGAATGTTTTGTTTCCTGTCTCCACAGTCGGAGGCGGTAAATGATTCTGAATACCAGTGGCTGAAAACCACCTTGGGAGGGGCGGAGAGTGCGGCTCTTGCACTCGGGTCCTGGCTTGGGGGCTTCCCAGTTGAGGCACTGAGTTGTCCCCTGTGAGGGCAGGATGCCGGACTAGATGGGCCGCTTTGGGCCTGATCCAGCAGGTTGTGCTGACCTTCTTCTGAAGGTACCCTTCCCTGCCTCTCCCTGGGGGTGGGAAGCTTGCAGGGACACAGAGAGGCTAGTTCTGCACTGGTTAGATCAGGAGAGCGGCCCCCAGGTTATGGGGGGTGGCTCCATGTGGGACACAGGCTCAGCACACCTGATTTGGGGAGGGGGGTTTTCTGTTGTGACACTTCAGGTAAAATGGACCTTGTTGCCCTGGCGGTGCTTCCAGGGTTACCTGGATTTTTCACCTGATGGGACAATTGGCAGGGAGAGTTTGTGGGGCGGGTGAGAAGGACCCGGAAGAGCACATCTCCATATCCCAGCTGAGTCCTCTTCACACGGTTTGAGTCTCCTTATTCTGCACAGAGTTGGAAAGTCAGAAACATGTGATGTCCCATCTTAGTTTCCCCAGTAATCCCAGTTTCTGGAGTGGGTGGGTGTCAATGGATGAACATTATACCTCCGTGAAGAGACCTTACCTTTGCTGACCTCACCTTTCGGAAAAACACACTCCCCCCCCTTTTCTTTTACTTTTTCCTTTTGCCTTGAAACGTTTGTTTTTCCTGCAAACACGATTTGGATGAAGCGGCAACAGCGAGGGTTTGGCTTTGACACACCGGCCTTAAGGAACAAAGGCAGCCCATAATAAGACGTCTGCTTGTTTGTATTTTGTATGCACCCTAAAAAACATTCCGGTCCGGAATGGCATCTTAAGGTGTGGCTCTGTGGGGGGGGGAAACACGTCTCAAAACAACCAGGTAGAAATAAGGGAAGAGCCACAGAGAGGAACTGTAAGCAGGGCAGAGAAAACAAGATTTTTTTGGGTGGTTGGGGAGGAAACATAGTCTAGAAGCTAAGCCTCCCCATCACCTCCAAAAGCCCTGTGCACAAGAAATATTTTTGCTGTGTGTGAGAGAGACAGACAGACAGACAGACTGACCCACTGACCAACCCCAGGCAGTGGGGGACAGAAGCCCAGAGCCTGGGATGGGTGCAGTGCTAAACATGGCCTGCCCCACATTCCCCCCGCTTGATCTCCCAAGGGGGCAGATATCAGGAAGATTCCTCACGCAGCACTAATTTGACTATGGAACTCCCTCCCACAAGAGCCACCAACTTGGAAAGAGGATCAGACAAATTCATAGAGGAGGAGGAGAAGCCCATCGTGGGCTCAACGGTCTCCCTCCACAGTCAGAGGCAGCAAATGCCAGTCTCTGGAGAGGGGCGAGCTCAGCTCTCGCACTCGGATCCCAGAACAGGCACCCGAGAGAACAGGAGGCTGGACAATTCCTGCCTCTCAGGGGGTTGCGCTAGATGACCCTCGGGGTCCCTTCCGACTCTCCAATTCTAGATGGGCCGTTCGCCTGATCCAGCAGGGATCTCAGAACTGTGGAGGCGGAAGGGACCCGAGGGTCATCCATCCCAACCCCCTCCAGGCCAGGGACCGCACCTAAATGCCCCACTGCCAGGCCAGTCCCCTTTGGGATTTGGGACCTGTGGGTTGCAGTGGGCGGGGGCCACGTCTCCCCCTCCCTCCCCAGGCAGCAAAGCGCCTGGGGTGCCCCCCCCTTCCTTGCCCTTCTGTGTCTGTCTAACCGGCTTGTTTTCAGAGGCCCCTGGCGCTTGGGGACCCCCGGCCAGCGCAGAGACCCCCCCAGGGTGGTTTTCATGGAGGTTTATCTCCCTGCAGCCGCACAAGTCTGTAGCCTCGCGTGTAGACATGAAGCTGGAGAGCCCCAGTACCGACTCGCAGCTGGAGTTTGTGGTGGCCACCGAGAAGGAGTTCGAGGAGATCCTGGCCATGTCGAAGGGCATCTACGGGGGGCTGGACTACCTCCCCAGTCGCTACCATGCCTGGATCCGGGAGCCCAACCGCACCGTCGTGCTGGCCAAGAAGAACGGAGCTGTGGTGAGAGCGGTGGGGGGCCGGGCCGGCCAGATGCATCCTCTCCCCCCTCCCAGGGCACCCACGGTGGTCCCTGGGAGGCTGGGGGGAGAGGACCTCTGCCACCTGGGGGGCTGAAATGGATGGGGGGAGGGTCGTCTTGGTGGGTGCTGCTATGGAGCAACTCGGACTAAGTCGCTGCCTGACAGGATTCTTGCATCGCAGTGGGTTGGGCTGGATGACCACATGGGGTCCCCTTTCAACTCTTACGGTTCCAGCCTTACCGTTGTTGTTTTCCTGCAAGGGAATAGGAATGGCAGTAAGCAGAAGCAAAAACCCTCAGAGCTTGCAAATGAAATTTAGCTGCGGCTCCTGTGTTGCAAGGTGGGGTTGAGCTAGATGACCTTTGGGGGACCCTTCCAATTCTTTGGTTCCCACGATTCATTGCAGGTTTTTAAGGAGAGGCCAGGTGCTTCAGCTCCTGCACTGCCGGGGTTGGGTTGGATGACCTTTAGGGGTCCCTCTCAACTCTGCGATTCTGCAAAAAAAAAGGGGGGGAAGGTGATCTATAACCACAAAACCACCATGGAGGCGATTCAAATGATATAGTGTCTCTCGCAAGCTAGGGATCAATAGGAAAAGGGCCATTGCGCAACCGCATTTGGAATAATACGGTGTGGCGTTCTGGTTGCCTCATCCCAAAATGGATATCGCTGAGTTGGAGAAGGTTCAGAAGAGAGCAGCCAAAGCAATTGAGGGAGATGGAGCGACTCCCCTGTACGGGGAAGGTTGCTGTGTTTGGGACTTTAGAGAGCAGGTGAGGGAGTTTGTGCAATTATGCAGGGCGAGGAGAAAGTGGAGCGAAAAGGGCTTTCCTCCCTCTCTCCCAACGCAGGAACTCGTGATCACCCAGGGGATCTGGTGCTGGCGATTCAGGGCAGAGAGAAGGAAGCCGTTTTTCATACAGGGCACAGAGAAGCTATGGCTGCCAACTTTAAAAGAGGACTAAAGAAATTCACGCCTAGGCATCTGGATCCCAGCTGCTGGAATCTGCAGGAGGGCATTCGGATCCTGTGTTCAAATTCTGATTGTGGGTTTCCTTTTGGGGCACCTGTTTGGCCCCCAGCTGCTGGACTAGTCGGGCCCCCCCTGGCCTGACCCAGCTTCCTCAGGGGTCTCCTGGCCTCCTTGCGCTTGGGGGAGGCAAACTGCATTTCCATGGCCCCGATCCAGGCAGATCTTTCGAGGAAGCGCTTGCTCCCACGATCTTCCGTGCCCTTTGCTCCATAGCAGGGTCCTGAGCAGCCCGAGACCTCCTGGCGCCCCCTCCCACGGTGCCAGCTTCGGGGGGGGGGCAGAGAAAAGGGGTCCTTTGTGGCCCACCCCCCCAGATCGCACTCTTCACACACGGCGGGTTTGGGGTTGGGGAAGTTGGGGGAGCCTGGAGCTTATGGGTAAGTCTGTCGCACATGCGTGTGTAACGCCGGCACCGCAACTGGACGTGGTTTTCGCACTCCCCCCTCCTCATCCGGGGGGGGGGCATTTCCAGGAAAGGGGGGGGGAATGGTTGAGAAATGGAGCCAAACTCCATTCAAAATCTGCCACCAGCCGATTCTGCCAATTTAAGTGGGAGCCTAAATCCTACAGGATGGATGCGATTGGACCCCCCCTAGTCTTAATTGCATATGGTAAGGACAGTGTGTGTGCGCGGTGGGGGGCAACCCCCCCCCCAAAAATTATGGGATGCTTCCCAAAATCTGCAAATCTCAAACACGTACGGGTCATCCTGCATAAAATCTTAGTCTGGTCTGTTTGGGGGAGAACTGTAGGCTTATAGCCTTTCTCTCTGTGGGCCGTTAGATGGTCCAATTATTATTATTATTATTATTATTATTATTATTATTATTATTATGTCCTGAGGAGGCTGTATCCCTCCAAGGCAAGGGTTGGGCATTAAAGCCCTCGCTTGCTGGGGTCACCTGCAGATGGAAAGAGGTTGACACGCCTTCCATCGCCCCTCCCTCGGCCCAAACCCGCAGGCCGCTTAACGGTGACTCCCGGGCTGGGCTAGATGACCTTTGGGGGACCCCTCCTGACTGCAATTCCTCCAGTTCCGGTGCCTGGGCGTTCCTCACCCTCTTTCTCTCTCTTTCTCTCTCTCCCGTCTACTGATGATTTAATGGGATTCTGTTTCCAGCTTCATTCTGGACTTTTCCTCTCTCTCTCTCTCTCTGCCTCCCTATCTCTTTCTCTCTTTCTCTCTATTTTTTAAAATATTTTTTTTAAAAAAAGCAATGGATAAAAACCGAATGATTTTCGCTGGATTTTATTCACGTAGGTGTGTGGGGGATCAGGCCCCCCGTCCAGGAAGGTGGCGGGGGCTCCCTCGGAGGAACCGTGGAGGGGCTGCTGCAGCGCGGATCCTAAATCCTTACAGTTCGGCCTCAGGACCCAAGTTTCCAAAATAAATGTCTCCCTCTTTCTGTGTCTCTGCTCTTGAGACCCCCGTAGCGTAAAGGGCCCCGTCCAATGGTACTAGTATGATCAGCTTACTCTGTGATCTTCCCTATATATAAATATATATCTATATATAAACCCCTCTATATGCCTGTATATATATTTTTTGTTGTTCTCTTTTCGTGTAATTGCTTAAAAATGTATGCCAACGCTTGGCATTTGAACAGCGGTCTCCCCCCACCCCAGACCTCTCTCTCTGCCTCCCTCCTCACCCAACCCCCCCCTCACCCGCCCGCCCCCACCTGCCCCCTCCCTCACCTAACTTTGTTTAATTAACGCCACCATTTTTTTCCAATTACAGATTTTTTCAAGATTGTAGGTGACTTGGTGCAGCGCACTCAGGATTAAACTCTCTGCTCTCTCCCCTTCCCCCTCCTCCTCCCCCCACCCTATATCTCCCCCTCCCCTCCCGCCCCCCCAACCCAACCCAACCCAACAACCAGATTGGGCTCCAGTCGGTCTACATCATTGACTCTGGGGAGACGGCTTTGGTGGAGGGGCTCCGCGTGGCCCCCTGGGAGCGAGGGAAAGGGGTGGCCGGGGTCCTGCAGCGCTTCTGCTCGGAGATGGTCAAGGAGAAGCACCCTGAGGTCAAGGTGTCGCGCTTGACCCGGGACGACAAGCTGGGACCCAAAGACTTCAAGAAGTACCGTGTCATCGCGAAACAGGTGAGGGAGCCGCGTGGACAGAGGTACGCCGTCCCCATGACAGAGCACAGGGAGGGAGGAACTCTGCGCATGCACAGAGACACTGGGGATCAAGCCTGGCTGGCAGGGGAGCTCCCAGGGCTTGAACCGGGGGACCCAACATTAAGAGATCGTAGACTTGTAGGGATGTGAATAGATGCTGAGAGAGCATTACAGATCCTTCCTTCCTTGTGAGTTCAGCAGAAAGCATCCCTTTGCAACTTAGAGAGGCAAGTTTTAGGCCAGGGGTCAGCAAACTTTTTCAGCAGGGGGCCGGTCCACTGTCCCTCAGACCTTGTGGGGGGCCGGACTATATTTTGAAAAAAATATATGCCCCACAAATAACCCGGTGATGCATTTTAAATAAAAGGACACATTCTACTCATGTAAAAACACGCTGATTCCCAAACCGTCTGCAGGCCGGATTTAGAAGGTGATTGGGCCGGATCCGGCCCCCAGGCCTTAGTTTGCCTACCCATGTTTTAGGCTTTTGGTTTAAGCGATCCAGGATTGCTTTAAGGCGGACTGGTTTTTCCTGGTATTTGTCCCTTTTCTCCCCTTAAAATAATAATCGCATCTTGTAAAAAGAGCATTTACAGTCGTACCTTGGTTCTCAAATGCCTTGGTACTCATCTGTTTTGGCTACCGAACGCCACAAACCTGGAAGTGAGTGTTCCGGTTTCCAAACGTTTTTTAGAAGCCGAACGTCTGACGCGGCTTCCATGGGTTCCGATGGAGTGCAAGAAGCTCCTGCAGACAATTGGAAGCCACACCTTGGTTTTCAAACATTTTCCAGATGTTCAAATGTATTCCATTTGAGAAGCAAGGTACGACTGTCCTCTTGTTGAGGAGTAACTGATACAGCAGCTTTGTTCAGGCCGGCTTAAAATGCAAATTCAGTTTCCAAGACATCCTTCAGTCTAGCTTAAAGCGATGTCTGAGCTTTGGAGCTCAGACATGCAGATGTTATTACATGTTGGCTTGTTGGGAAGAGTGATGGAAAAGAGAAGAAAGAGGATATTCCCAGGCAGGTGGGAGGAGATACCTGGCTATGCCCCCCCCCCCGTCAGAGCACAGAGGGGGTGTCTCTCTCAGAGTCCTCTCTACCAAACTTACAGGAAAACTCTGTGAGCTTCAGCGCCCACCATGTGCCCGTCTAACAAACCCGAATCTTTGTTTTGACTGCATTGCATTGTGTCCTTTCATACTGCATCACGATGTGGTACGCTGGTTTGACATCAACTAATAGGAAGTGCCTACAGAGGGTGGTGAATACAGCATGAGATATTATGGGCTGTCCCGTGAATCTGCTGGATGAAATAGCAGACGATCGTTGCCTCAGGAGAGTGAGGAAAATTCTCGGGGATGATTATTCACACCCTGGAGGGCACTTTCTTGATCTCCTGCCCTCGGGCAGAAGATATAGAAGCAGGATTAGTCGCCCCAACAGGGTAAAGAACAGCTTCTATCTGTGGGCTGTTAGGCTGCTGAATGAAAAGATAACAACAGGGCAACGGACTTTGGGGTTTGGTGTCAGTAAACAAGGGGAATTAAGACTAAGAGAGCTGAGTGGGGGGTCCTAGTGTAATCTCACTGTATACAAGTTGTACAAGTGACAGTAAAGTATTTCAATTTCAATATCCCACAGGAAGGGAGCCCCAGGATCATCTAGTCCAACCCCCTGCAATGCAGCTGGCCAATATGGGGATTGAACCCGCAGCCTTGGCATTATTGGCACCAGGCTCTAACCCACACAGCTATCCTGCACTTCTATGACTCCAGGGGCCCGTCCCAGAGTGGAGAGAGGGGTGGTGCTTTCTGAAGAGGCTCAGACGGCCTTCTGTGTCCTTGAACCTGTGTCAAATAGGTTCAGGGGAGCAGCTGCCGGCTGCCCCCCATCCCAAGTGGGTGACTCTGGGCTCTCAAATTTCAGTGGTGCCACAATTTGGCACATCTCGCCTTCCATCGCGAGAGCCCTTTGTTGTGGCAGCCTGTCAGCTTAAGAACCCGGTTTGGGCAAACCAGCCGTGCCCCCTCTTCCCATGTGTGTTTTAGGACTGAGGTCAGATCCCAAGTGGTGGGGTGGGGAGACTGCAAAGAGAGAGCTGTGGGGTGGGGCTGTCTCTGTCTCTGCAGGTAGAGCTGCCTTCAGTTGACCTATGGTCCTGGGTTGCTTGTGCTCAGATCCCGAGAAAGAACTCTCTGATTCCATCTCAGGACCTTTCCAGGTGAGGAGACTGCCTTCTCCTCCATCACAACCTGGTGGAACTTCTCCTTCTCCTGCTCTGAATTCTTCTCCTTCTCCTCCTCTTCTTCCTCCCCTTCCTCTTCCTTCCTCTCTCCAGGGGATCCTGCTGGTGCGCTTCGATGCCCAAGAGCTCCTCTCCCGCCTTGACGCTGTGGTGCTGGCGCTGGCCGAGGCCGGCTTCTGCCCAGAGCCATCCGAGCTCCTCCTGGAGAGCGAGGTCCCCGAGGTGGTTCTGCAGGAGTCCTTCCAGCGGGAGGTTCTGCCCAACCAGACCATCATCCAAGACTGGCAACCCTTCAAGGCCACCGCCGGCAACCTGGGCCTGCTGATGAAGAAGGACCTCTGCTGGGTGGTCGACCAAAAGGCCCGCCCCACCGTGGCCACGCTCAGCACCCGGCCCTTCCCCATCCCGCTGGGAGAGGACTGGTTTTACCTCAACATCGACGCCTTCGGGCGCGACCTGGCGCACGTCAAGAGCCAGCTGCTCCACCACCTGCGCCTCCAGGTGCCGGCCGCCCAGCAGGGGAAGGTCATGTGCCAGCTCTTCCTGGAGCCGGCCCTGTGGTTAGACATGGCCACCTTCTGCCAATCGGCCCTGGGCCTGGAGCTGGCCAAGGACTACACCGAACAGTACCTGCTGGAGTCTGACATCTGACGGGTTGGGGGAGGCCAAGGGGGCAGCAACGGGGGGGCTCAGGGGTGGGGAGGAGAGGGAGGAGCGGCGGGGGCCCCCTCCTCCCCCCTCTCCCCTCCCTCCCCCCTCCTCCACCCCCAAACTCCCCTGCAACGCAGCACTTTCTGAGCCTTTTAACATTTTATCCTGGAAATACTTGGTTACCCCGACCCAAACCCAGTGCCCCCCCCACCTCCAACCCTGACGTAGAGGATGAAACCCCAGTTCTCACTCCCTTCCCTGGGCAGCAGTTAGCAATGTGGGTGGTTCGGTCCGGGGAGATGGATGGGGCAGCAGCAGAGAAAATGGGGGCGGGGGGCTTGGAGGAGGTTCTCCCCGGAGCGGCTGGCTGGTCCTTGGCAAAGCCTTGCCCACCCTTACCCCGAGCAGAAGGCACCCCTGGGTGGGAGAGAGAGCAGGGGGCCTCTGCGGCTGCCTCTGTTTTGAGATAAATAATCAAACAGTCCAGGTCTTAGCGCTGTGGGGAAACCAAGAGGAGTTTGGCCTAGATTCCATCTGCTCTTTGCAGCCCTCGGCTCTGAAGATCATGAGCCGCTGAGATTCCACCTGGAACAGATCCCATCACTGCAAGCTCATCTCTAGGTCCATGAGGGCTAGAAACCTGGCTTTCTTTAAAAGGCAGGCTGGGGTTCTCCTGAACGTTGTGGTGCAGCAGACACTTTTAAGGGAAGCCCATATGAGGTCCTGGGACCACCAGAGAGCCACTGGCTCCTCCCAGACTGTAGTGTGTGTTTTCGGGTGGGGGGGGCAGCGATAGTCGCACAGCAATAGCCCCTTTCACTTGTGCAGCCCCCCGTCCGCCCCCTTCCTCCCCCCCCCAGCCAGGCGCTTAGCAACAGCTGACATGGTGACGGAGGAGGCGCCCCCCCTTGCAACGGTTGACATGGCAGCGGCTGAGGGAGCCTAGCAACGAGGCTGACGCACGGGGCGGCGCCTGGCAACGGTTGACGTGGCGATGGAGGCCGGTGATGTGATGACTGATGGCGGAAGGAAGCAAGGTCGCCGCGACCTCCCCGGCCCCTGCAGAAGGGACCTTGCGGGGCTTGGCAGACCCCCCCCACCTGCCCCCTCCCCATGATCTTGCCTTGCACTCCCCCCAGCCCCCCACCCCTTTCCCCCTAGCGCCGCTTTCAGACTGACTAACGTGCAATATTAGATTCTTGTAAATGGAGATATATTTATAAATCTATGGTGTGCAAAATGTGTGGGGAGCTTTCTTGCGCTGCGCGTGGCGGCCTGCCTGCCGGATCCCTTGGGAGTCGGAGCCGACGGGTGACCCCAGAACACACACAACACTTCCCCCCCCAAATCAAAAATACACACCTGCCTGCATTTCCTCCGCTTTGTGGGAAACTGGTTACCTGCTCTCTGTGTGTGACATATCTGGAGGTGATGCCAAATTTTGAGTAGAGACACAGTGGAGGGGGGGGGGCCTTCAATTCTGCCTTGCAGGTGGGCTTAGATGATGATGATGATGATTATCAGCTAGCCAGTCACACCTGGTGGGAGACCCTCCTCTAACCACCTGCCCCTACTAAACGCCTTTGCTTGGCTGTTCTGCCCCATAAGAAATAATGATTAGCGGGTTCTTCAGAAGGGAATTTTCACTGTCTCTCACACACACATTCACAGAATCATAGAACTGGAAAGGGAACCCCAAGGTCATCTAGCCCAACCTCGTACAATGCAGGAATCTTTTGCACAACGTGGGACTCGAACCCCCGACCCAGAATTCCAGAGTTGCCTTGTCTGTCGATTGACCTCTCCATAACGAGACATATTTATTTATACACTGCATTTTCCGCGAAATACAATAGCCTAAAGATAGACGCTCTATATCTACACATTACAAAAAGTATACACGTTTGCCCCCGTTTTTTTCCGCTTCAGATTTGCGGTTTCATTTGAAACGTCTTTGGAAGATACAGGACAGTATATCTTGCAACCGCCTTTGGAATATTGTGTTCAGCTCTGGCGGCCACGGGAGGGGAGAGTTGCTCTTGGGCCCCGATCCTGCTCGTGAGTTACCCATAATGGGCATCTGGTTGGCCCAGGAATTGAATTATGAGCAAGAGAAGAAATTAGAGACTATGGTACAGTGGTACCTCGCAAGACGAATGCCTCGCAAGACAAAAAACTCGCTAGACGAAAGGGTTTTTTTGTTTTTTGAGCTGCTTCGCAAGACGATTTTCCCTATGGGCTTGCTTCGCAAGACGGAAACGTCTTGCAAGTTTGTTTCCTTTTTCTTAACACCGTTAATACAGTTGCGACTTGACTTCGAGGAGCAACTCATAGAACGCGGTGTGGTAGCCTTTTTTGAGGTTTTTGAAGACTTTGGTGATTTTTGAAGCTTTTCCAAAACTTTTCCGACACCGTGCTTCGCAAGACGAAAAAAATCGCAAGACGACAAAACTTGCGGAACGAATTAATTTCGTCTTGCGAGGCACCACTGTATTGTTGTTATGGTATGAGGAGGCCCCTGAGAGAACGGAAGGCTGGGCTTGGTGGGCCCTCGGCCTGGTTCTGCAAGCTCTTCTTAATGTCCTGACGCTTTTGAGCTGTTCTGGGCATCCCTATGTCTCCAGAGACGACGACGTGTTCCTAGAGGAGTGAAACTAAACCAAGGCATTAGCAGCATTGAAGGGGCCTCTCTGGAGTGTAAGCCTGGCCTGTGTGGCAGATGACAAGTCTCTCCCCCTCGCTGAGGTGGTCCGAAGGAAAGCAGAGCAATCCAGTTTGGCTGCCAGAGTTGCTGGAAGGAGGCAGACAACGCGCCGTCCAACTACCTTAGGGACCCCGCTCAGGATTTGTAGAGAGTTTGCGCCTGAGCCCTGGGTACCTCTACACAGAATACTTGAATGTAAGTGAAAATACCCAGCTCTCATGGAAGGTCAGGGGGTAAACCCCTCCTCGTTTGCGTGTTTCTTTGTCCTGAAATCTTAGCAGACTGAAGAACCAGCAAAGAAATTGCTGGGGGTTGGGGGGGGGAAGAGTGGAGGAAATGGCTGAAGCACGAATGGCACCACACTCCCCCCCCCCAAGAGCTTTGCTCCTTTGATCACCATACTGCTTGGACTGTATTTCTTTTTAACCATCATGCATTTAGAAGACACCTTTAAAGCTCTGTATAGGGAAGTTTTAAGATGTTTGATGGTTTTTATGTATGTTTTATATATGTTATATATATAACGGGACGTGGGTGGCGCTGTGGGTAAAAGCCTCAGCGCCTAGGGCTTGCCGATCGAAAGGTCGGCGGTTCGAAACCCCAGCGCCTGCCAACCTAGCAGTTCAAAAGCACCCCCAGGTGCAAGTAGATAAACAGGGGCCGCTTACCAGCGGGAAGGTAAACGGCGTTCCGTGTGCTGCGCTGGCTCACCAGATGCAGCTTTGTCACGCTGGCCAAGTGACCCGGAAGTGTCTCCGGACATTGCTGGCCAGGGCCTCTTAAGTGAGATGGGCGCACAACCCTAGAGTCTGGCAAGACTGGCCCGTACGAGCAGGGGTACCTTTACCTTTACCTTTATATATGTTGGAAGGAGCCCAGAGTGGCTGGGGGAACCCAGTTAGATGGGAGGAGTACACTGATGATGATGATGACGATGATGATGATGGAATAGGACAGGGGTAGGCAACCAAAAAAGCAGAGACATCACCTTGCCGACAAAGGTCCGTATAGTTCAAGCTATGGTTTTCCCAGTAGTGATGTATGGAAGTGAGAGCCAGACCATAAAGAAGGCTGATCGCCGAAGAATGGATGCTTTTGAATTCTGGTGCTGGAGGAGACTCTTGAGAGTCCCATGGACTGCAAGAAGATCAAACCTCTCAATTGTTAATGAAATCAGCCCTGAGTGCTCCCTGGAAGGACAGATCCTGAAGCTGAGGCTCCAAGACTTTGGCCACCTCATGAGAAGAGAAGACTCCCTGGAAAAGACCCTGATGTTGGGAAAGATGGAGGGCACAAGGAGAAGGGGACGACAGAGGATGAGATGATTGGATAGTGTTTTCGAGGTTACCAGCATGAGTTTGACCAAACTGCGGGAGGTAGTGGAAGACAGGAGGGCCTGGCGTGCTCTGGTCCAGGGGGTCACGAAGAGGCAGACACGACTAAACGACTAAACAACAACAAAGGCAACCTAAGGCATGGGGTCGGATAAATTGTCCCGTAGCACCTTAGAGACCAACTAAGTTTGTTCTTGGTATAAGCTTTTGTGTGCATGCACACTTCTTCAGATACACAGGTACTTTGGACCTAATTGTTAATTTCAAGCATATTCAACTGGGCCTATTGTGAAAGCCCCCGGCTTTGCTGATGATGAGCTGCAAGATTTGGATGCTGAGATTTCACCTGTAATGGATCCCATCTTTGAAAGCTCATCTCTAGGTGCATGAGGGCTTATTTGGCGATCACTCATAGTCAAGTGACTATGGTTTTAACAGTGAGTCCATAAGTGACTGTGGAGGCCAATTCTGGATCCACACGTCCTTCCACAGTGGGGACAGAGGTTTCCTGGCGGGAGTTGATCCCGGTGTGGATTTGCCAAGCGTACCTTCCTCTTAACACGTTTCTCCTTTGCGTCCTGAGTTTGAGTGTCTTCAAAACCCATGACACCTTTGGCAAAGGATGTTCTCCAACTGGAGCGCTCGCAGGCCAGTGTTTCCCAGTTGTCAGTGTTTATACTACATTTTTTAAGATTTGCCTTGAGACAGTCTTTGAACCTCTTTCGTTGACCACCAGCATTACGCTTTCCATTTTTAAGTTTGGAATAGAGTAGTTGCTTTGGAAGAGGATCATCAGGCATCCGCACAACATGACCAGTCCAACGAAGTTGATGTTGAAGAATAGTTGCTTCAACACTGGTGATCTTTGCTTCTTTCAGTTCACTGGAATTAGTTCTCCTGGACACTGTGGTGCAACAGACACCCCCCCCCCAGCCAGGTGCTTAGCAACAGCTGACATGGTGACGGAGGAGGAGCCCCCCCTTGCAACGGTTGACATGGCAGCGGCTGAGGGAGCCTAGCAACGAGGCTGACGCACGGGGCGGCGCCTGGCAACGGTTGACGTGGCGATGGAGGCCGGTGATGTGATGACTGATGGCGGAAGGCAGCAAGGTCGCTGCGACCTCCCCGGCCCCTGCAGAAGGGACCTTGCGGGGCTTGGCGGACCCCCCCCCACTGCCCCCTCCCCGTGATCTCGCCTTGCACTCCCCCCAGCCCCCCACCCCTTTCCCCCTAGCGCCGCTTTCAGACTGACTAACGTGCAATATTAGATTCTTGTAAATGGAGATATATTTATAAATCTATGGTGTGCAAAATGTGTGTGGAGCTTTCTTGCGCCCGTCTGCCGGATCCCTCGGGGGTCGGAGCTGTCGGGGATCCCAGAACACACACAACACCCCCCCCCCAATCAAAAATACACACCTGCCTGCATTTCCTCTGGTTTGTGGGAAACTGGTTACCTGCTCTCTGTGTGTGAGAGAGATGGGTGGCTGCTATTCTGCCTTGCAGGTGGGCTTAGCTGCACTTAGAAGTACTTTAAGCTCCTCATAGCAGCTGGGAAAACCCAGCCAGATGCACAGGGTATAAATAATAAAATTATTGTTATTGGTATTATTAGCCAGCAGGTCACTCCTAGTGGGAGACCCTCCCCTAACCACCTGCCCCTACTAAATGCCTTTGCTTGGCTGTTCTGCCCCATTGGAAATAATGATTAGCAGGTTCTTTAGGAGGGAATTCTCACTCGCTCTCTCACACACGTTCATAGAATCATAGAACTGGAGAGTCGGAAGGGACCTCAGGGGTCATCTAGTCCAACCCCCTACAATGCAGGAATCTTTTGCCCAAAGTGGGGCTCGAACCCCTGAAATACAATATCCTAAAAATAGAAGCTCTATATCTATGCATGACAAAAAGTGTATTATTATTGTTGCTTATTAAATTTGCATCATGCTCGTCTTGCGGTGGTTCCCAAGGCAGAAAACAGGATAGAACACAAAACAAGTAATAAAAACAAGAGCAACAGAAACCAATGACCCCCTTGCTCCCACAAACACATTTCAAAAGGATATAGGATGTTAAGGTATAATTTCACTGCAACATCATACATTTTTTTAAAAACAGAAGCAGTACCAAACCTCCAGCTATTAGCGATTAATTTAACACAAACTCTCGCTCCTCTTTCCCTCCCGTTACCCCTGTAATAAAAGCCTGGCCTGAAACAGTGGCAGCTCAGGACTTGCATTTCGCAGAAGTTTCTCTCTAAAACATGGGTAGGCAACCTAAGGCCCGGGGGCCGGATGTGGTCCAATCACCTTCTCAATCCGGCCCACGGACGGTCCGGGAATCAGTGTGTTTTTACACGAGTAGAATGTGTCCTTTTATTTAAAATGCATCTCTGGGTTATTTGTGGGGCATAGGAATGTGTTCATATTCTTTTTTTCAAAATATAGTCCAGCCACCCACATGATCTGAGGGACGGTGGACTGGCCCCCTGCTGAAAAAGGTTGCTGACCCCTGGCCTAAACCATGCAGGGGTGCTCAGACTTCAGGCGTGTCTGTGTTTGTGTGTGTGTGTGTCTCTCTCTGTGTGTGATTCCTCTCCCACAGAACCGTCTCAGCCATTCTTAAGATTTATACCCTCCGGGTTCCTCCCGCATCCCCCCAGAGGGCTGTTCCTTGATCTCCACCCTCTGGGAAACAAACCAGGCACCAAAGTGCTGAGTTCTCTGAATTCCTCATCGCCTTAACAGAGATCAGGGGAAAAGTGGGTGGGGAGGAGAGCCCTTGTTTCACATGGATCTCTGGGAATCTGCTCGGGACCCAGATGCCAGCAGAATAGCTGCCCTCTCCTCCGATGTCCTGTGCGACTCACCCCCTTGCGTCCTGTGGCACCTGGAGATTCAACCTGAGCTCCGTCCCACCTGTGTAAGAAAGGAAGCCTGTGCAACAGAGACCTGGGCACCTTTCCATCTGATTTAGCCCAGGGCCTGCCAGGGTAGGAAACCGCAGCTCAGCAGCAGAGGAGGGCATTGGGTTTCCACACAGGGAGGGAGTGCCAGGATCGATCCCTGGCAGAACCCCCAGACAAAATCAGGGCTGGGCGGGAAGTGGAGAGAGCAACCAAACAACACCACCACAAACTGGCTTATAAGTATAAAGCCAAATTTACTAGAATAATAACTAGAATAGAGATAGACTTGTAACCATTCAAGCAACAAACATACTAAGGCGCCATGTGCAAGACAAAGCCTGGAGATACTGTAAACATGGAGTGGATAAATGCACAACTGTATCTTAACAAGTTACATGTGCAATAAACGTTATACAGACTGGATGAATGAACCGTTCAACAAGTCCAATCACAGTCGCCACAATGGGAAGAGTAGCACACTGGAGAATATGAAAAAGTTTTCCAAAGCTGTTTTTCAAAGATTGAACTGGATGAGATGTTCTTCAATAGGTCTTGAGTTGGAAACACAAAGCAATTGGGCATTATTATTACTGTCAACACATTTGATACTTTGTGTATATACTGGGAAGTGGATAGAGACACAGAACTGAAGATTTGGAAGGGACCTCCAGGGGTCATCTAGCACAACCCCCTCCGAGGGAGGGATCTCACGTAAGGAAAGACATTTCTCTGGGCTGGATCTGGGGAGCCGCTGCTGGTAGCCTGCCAGTCAGGGTAGGCAATGCTTCCCTGGGTCTGGCACAGCATCAAAAGGGCTGCCCTGCCTTCCTAGTAAGATGGGAGTGGGTTAGAGTGCATCTGAGCATGTGGCAGAATGCCTTTTCAAGTGGGCCTTCCTGGCAGGGTACAGGCCTGGCACCTCCAATTTTTAAAAAACAAAGCCCATAGCCTCCCCCCCCCAAATGGGACCAATGGGAGCTGGTCTCCAACTACAGAGTCCAGAACTGGACACACAACCTATGTCCTGGTAAGTTGTTTAGTCGTTTAGTCGTGTCCGACTCTTTATGACCCCCTGGACCAGAGCACGCCAGGCCCTCCTGTCTTCCACTGCCTCCCGCAGTTTGGTCAGGCTCATGTTTGTAGCTTCGAGAACACTGTCCAACCATCTCGTCCTCTGTCGTCCCCTTCTCCTTGTGCCCTCCATCTTCCCCAACATCAGGGTATTTCCAGGGAGTCTTCTCTTCTCATGAGGTGGCCAAAGTCTTGGAGCCTCAGCTTCAGGATCTGTCCTTCCAGTGAGCACTCAGGGCTGATTTCCTTCAGAATGGAGAGGTTGGATCTTCTTGCAGTCCATGGGACTCTCCAGAGTCTCCTCCAGCACCAGAATTCAAAGGCATCCATTCTTCAGCGATCAGCCTTCTTTATGGTCCAGCTCTCACTTCCATATATCACCACTGGGAAAACCAGAGCTTGAACAAAGCCCATGTTGTTGTTGTTGTTGTTGTTGTTTAGACGGATGAGGTGATCAGGCACTCCCATTTCTTTAAGAACTTGCCATAGTTTGCTGTGGTCGACACAGTCAAGGGCTTTGCATAGTCAATGAAGCAGAAGAAGATGTCTTTCTGGAACTCTCTAGCTTTCTCCATAATCCAGCGCATGTTTGCAATTTGGTCAACAAAGCCCATAGCCTCCCCCCCAAATGGGACCAATGGGAGCTGGTCTCCAACTACAGAGTCCAGAACTGGACACAGGACTTATGCCTTGGTCAGACCCCACCCCAAATAGGTGATATATATATATATATATATATATATATATATATATATATATATATGCAGGTTTTGGTGTCCTCGGGTGTCTTCCCGTGTAAAAGTTGGGGTGTCTAGGCGACGTTTCGACGAGGTCTCACTCGTCATCTTCAGGCTGGTGCTTTCGGCTTCTTGTTACTGGAACAGAGCAGGATCTCAGTGTTTGAGTTCCTATAAATACTGTTGAGGGGGTGTGGTGTATAGCCTCCAATGTTCTGGGCAGAGAGGAAGTTCCCAGGCTACGCGGGTGGCGCTGTGGGTAAAAGCCTCAGCGCCTAGGGCTTGCCGATTGAAAGGTCGGCGGTTCGAATCCCCGCAGCGGGGTGCGCTCCCGTTGCTCGGTCCCAGCGCCTGCCAACCTAGCAGTTCGAAAGCACCCCCGGGTGCAAGTAGATAAATAGGGACCGCTTACTGGCGGGAAGGTAAACGGCGTTTCCGTGTGCTGCGCTGGCTCACCAGATGCAGCTTTGTCACGCTGGCCAAGTGACCCGGAAGTGTCTCCGGACAGCGCTGGCCCTCGGCCTCTTGAGTGAGATGGGCGCACAACCCTAGAGTCTGTCAAGACTGGCCCGTACGGGCAGGGGTACCTTTACCTTTACCTTTATATATATATATATATAAAATAAATGTTCATAAATGTACCAAGCAAACACATATATAAATGTAATAAACAACATGTCCAAAACCCACAGGAAAAGTCCTAAAGCCATTTTGACTCTTTCAGTTGCCTCTATGAGCTCGAAGGGAACCTCCCCATTGTCTCTGTCCTCACAAATCCGGCCTTAAGGGCACATTTAAGGTGTGAATAGGGCGAGCCTGTAACCTGGCTCAGGAATTATGTATTATCATTACAAAAGAATGGCCAGGCTCCCCCAGGTACTCCAGTCAAGTGACCATTAACAGGTAACCACCTTCCACGCACTCAGATTTCTGTTGTAGACCACATTTTTGTGTGATGTAGGTATGATGTTTCTGGGGGTGATATTGGACTCCAGGGCGGGCAATTTAAACTGTCTATATAAGGGCGGACGCACCTGGGTTCTGGGTCCTCCTCCTTTCCTGCGTGTGAGGGGAGCACCTTGTTGCAACAGTTCAATAAAGATCAGGCTTACTAGCTGCTTTGCTTCTCAATATTCTCTGGTTGGCCTCTGTTATTTTCTCCTACCAATAGAGGACCTACAAAAGGACTCTATACGGGCTCTTGGGTACCCCATAAGGGAAAAGAAGCAGTTTTTTTACTTATATCATCAGTTTGGGGCACCTGTGTTTAAGATGAGTATTGACAAGCTGGAAGGTGTGCAGAGGTAGGCGGCCAAGATCATACTCCCCCAACGCTTCTCAGGTGAAAATTGGGACATCCCATTACAATCTCCTCCAACATTTCTCCAGTGAAATGGTGTCCTATACCATGCCCCCCCCCCCAATATTTCACCAGTCAAAATAGACACATCCAAAAGCAGCACCTTCCAAGATCAACTCAGAAAATAGAACGGCTTCTGTAATTCCGGGACTCTCCCTGGAAAACCGTGACACGTTGAGGGTCTGCGAGATGATAAACAGTCTGGAAACGAGGCCTGATGAGGAACAGTTGAGGCAGTG